CTATTCTATTCTATTCTATTCTATTCTATTCTATTCTATTCTATTCTGATGGATGTCCCCAAAGCTGGATCTTGACTTTGCTGCCTCTACCAAATCCAGAATGTCTAGAACAAAAAAAAATGAAAAGTGTCTTAAAGGAAACTTTAGTGTCCAGGAGGCAACTGGACTTGCTTGTTTTGTTTTGTTTTTCACCCAGGTTCCTAATTTCTGTAGTCTTTCTTTGAAGATGTTTCGCTTCTCATCCAGGAAGCTTCTTCAGCTCTGACTGATGTCTGTGGAATGGAAGGATCGATATTCCTTGCAGATAGCTGGGCATTTGCATCCTTTTAGAGGGTCGTTGAGGCCACCTGGAGGTTTATCTGTGTCCTCCACTTCTTGGATGAGAAGCGAAATGTCTTCAAAGAAAAAAAACCAGAAAGTCTCCTGCAAAAGCACCCTTGGGACAACCCTGATCCGGAAGACTGGGAATCTCCAAAGATATATCTCAAGCTCCTTCTCGGTGTTTGATAGACACCAATCTCGGTCCTGCTCTGAGGCGTAATAGATCCCTGGGAGATCCGGGGTAAAATCAGGGGATAGCCGGAAGCCTTGATGACCCTCCAGGACCAGGAGAAGCCTGGAGCAGAAACTGAGTTGCAAGGGAGCGAGAAGAGACAGTTAAGGATAAGGAAGGTCAACCAACTTGGCCCCAGCCCCCTGAAGCTGCCGTAGCTCACGCATGCAGCTGGGCGCTTGCCAGAGTCCCTCCGGATCCTGTGAGATGACCTCCCCCTGTCATAGTGAAAGCTACAACCGGGATTTCCGAGCAAGCCAGGGGCTTTGGCGGGAAATGAGCTCGCTTCAGTTGCAGGAAGCGAGCTGAAGGCTTCATTCCTTTGAAGTTCTTTGGAAATTAAAGACCTAACAGGGTCTAGAACAGGAGGGTCAAGTTGGATTTGTTTGAGGGCTGGATCAGCATTGTAGTTCTCGTCTGCAGGACGGCGGGGGGGGGCGTGAGGGCAGTGGGATGGGATGGGGGGGGTTGAGGAGCGGATGTGGCCATTTTCAGGCCGTTTTCTTTAACCGTTATCGGCCCAGTTTTCGACTGTTCTCTGCTTTTTTTAGTCTCATTTTTGGCCTGTTTTGGGCCCAGTTTTCAGCTCAGTGTTCATCAATTTGGGGCACATTTTTCAGCTAATTTTTTGGCCGTTCTGGCCTACTTTTGGCCCATTTCAGCCTGTTCTGGGCCTGGTTTTTGGCCCATTTTTTGGTCATTTTGCCCTGTTTTTCAGGCCAATGGGGTCCATTTTTCAGCCCCCTTTTCAAGCTCATTTTTAGGTCATTTTTGGCCTGTTTGGGGCCTTTTTTGGGGTCATTTTGGGCCCATTTTTGGCCACTTTGTGCCCATTATTTTGGCCATTTTGGCCCATTTAGACTTCATTTTTCGGCCCGTTTTCATCCGGCAGAGTGCTACAGGAGGCCATGGAGGGTGAAAACTAGGCGCGAGCCCCCCTCACACGGCCTCTTTTAGCCACCAGAGGCACCGTGGCCCAGTCCTTTCGTATTTCCAGGCCAGCCTCGTTGGCCAGATTTAAGCATCCCGAGGGCCGGATCTGTCCTATAGGCCTTGAGTTTGACACCCCTGGTCTAGACGGATAAAGACTAGCAAATCTATTTGGGCTAATGGCCAGTTTTCCTCAATCTGGGTCCAGTAGATACGGAGGAGTTTCATACAGGTAACTCCTTGACTTACAGCCATTCGTTTAGTGACATTCGAAGATACCATGGCACTGAAAAGCTGCCTTACGATCATTTTTCAGGCTTACGGCCATTGCAACATCCTTGCAATCATGCGATCAAAATTAGGATGCAACTGGCTCACATTTATGATGGTTTTGTGACCTTCTGAACTGGGGTAAGAAAGCTCGTAAAATGGGGCAAAGTTCACTTAACAACTTTCTCGCTTAGCAGCAAATTTTGGGCTCCATTGTGGTCATATGTTGAGGACTCTCTGTACAACTGTTGCAAGGATCATGTCATCATGGTTTGTAACCTTCCTAGCCACCTTTTGGAAAACCAGATTCGATTAATGACATGATTCACTGGACGACTGTGGGAGAAAAGATTGTAAAACCGGGCATGACTCGCTTAGCAACTGCATTCCTTAGCAAAGGGAGTTAAAATCCCAACTGTGGTTGTAAGTCGAGGACTACCTGTAGCCTGTTCTTACATAGCAAGGGAGCAAAATGTTTAACTTGATCTGCACTATCACAGGAGGACAGCAGAGGGCAGCAAAGGAACGTTTTCAAGGGACCGAACCGCTGGAACCAGTTTAAATGAGGGATATTTTCCCTTCAAATTAGAAAGTAATTTTGAATAAGTTAAGCTCCAACTTGTGAAAAGCTATTTCTTGAAAAGTTGACGCATGGCAATGGTGGGATTCAAAAAAATTTTATTACCGGTTCTGTGGGGGTGGCTTAGTGGGCATGGCAGGGGAAGGTTACTGCAAAATCCCCATTCCCTCCCCACCCCACTAACCTGCTTTCCAGCTCCATTCTCCTGTGCAGGGCAACCAAAGAAGACCCAGCCAATCAGCTGGGACTCAATGGGAGGCAGAGAACAGATGGGGGCGGGGCCAGTCAGAGGT